CCATACGTTCCTACTAAGCCTGTATTGAAGGGTAAATATTTTATATTAGAAATATATAAAATATGATATGATAATATACATGTATTTGTAAATAATGTTCTTTATAGACTTTTTAGATTTTTTTATCTCTTTTGAATTGTGAATTTTTTGTTTAAAAAATTACTATAGTTTTAAAATAAGGTATTATATATACATATATATATTTACTGTTTGGGATGCTAAACTTTTAAAAGGATAAAATTTAATAAATTTAGTCTTATTATATTGGATAAAATTATGTTTGGTATATTAATCAAAACATTAAGTTGAACTTATTTTAACAAAGATTTGGTAGTTATTATCAAATTGTTTTTTGTATTTACATGATGAAATTTAAAAGAAAGGTAGAAGGTAGTCAATAAAAAGAGGAATATTTTATAAATTAAATTTATACACGAATACATGAAAATTATGTCTGTATATGTTGCATCTTAATGTGATACATTTTGCAATTGTGTCACATAAAGATACAATATATACATATATATATTCAGAAATAATTTTTATGCGTTATATTTGAATATAATAAGAAATAATACTAAATATTTTATATAATTACGTTTATGGACGACAGAATATTTTATAATTGAAAAAACTGAAAGACTTAATACCGTTCCAATTTTTGTTAAAAAATATGTACTTGTGAAATTACACAATATTTTTTCCAATTATATCATTACAACTTATTTTTCAGATATAAAGAATAAGACAAAACATCACAGTAATAACGATTTTTCTGCACAATTAATGGATCGATTTGATCATTTGGAATCGACAGTTAAACAAGAAATTGAAAGCATGAAAAGGAGCATTTTATATGATCTTCATAAAAGCATTAATGACATAAAAAATACGTTAGCACTTAATACTGGTCGACCTTTGGGTACACTAGTAACAGAATGTAAAAAGGACTTAGCAGTTACTTTGCCATTAAATAATGTAGAAGAGTTCGTAAAGTTTAATGAGCAATTATCACTAGA